ACCCGATTCAAATGATCAGCTCATCAGCAAGTTCTGCATAAGCCTGGTAATGATCTTCATCATTTGAATCGGGTGTGTTGGAAGAGGGAACCATTTAGAGGATTGATTGGGGTTCTCGAGGACCGGGCTTGAGCACCTAGAAAAGCATTACCATCTTAAATATTGACCAAACTAGATTATCAATCTCATCCCTAAATTAAGATAAAAATATGCAGGATGGATGCAATACTTCGAATCAAAACCTGACAGAACAAATAAAACAGTACTCACAAGCCAGGAAGCAGTTCATGCTGAAAGAGATGTTGTCGAGTGAGATAATGGACCCAGGCCCAGGTCCACTTCCATCTTCTGATCCAAAAAGAAGCCAGAACCTGTGTATGGACAGCAGGCGTTAAACAATGAATCAACTTGTAAGAACTTTGAGAGCTCCCGCTTGAATCTAAGCAATTACCGCTATGACACTATGACACAAGTGAATTAGATACATTTTTTAATACAGACACCATTCGATATTAGACAGATAACACTGAGAATAATTTTTATTAGAGGTAGGCATTCAATCCTTACTGACGGGCACTGGTTTTGCTGACAAATGATGACAAAATTACAGACTAGGCCAGGGGTGCCTTTTTTGACCGAAGATCTACTTTCAACTAATCTTCGCGATCAACCGTTACCACACTTGCATGCCTACACACACACTCACGCATGCATCCATGTACATGCATGCATACGCACGCTTGCACGTGCGTGGCCATGCACGTGCGCGCATATGCACGCACGCACCCACGCAAGCCATGATGAGCAACAGCCATAACAGCCCCTAACATGAACGAAACAGAAAAATGAAGTAGATAAAAGAGTTTGTGAAAAGGAAATCACTGCCTATCTAAGTGGGGGACCTGACGCTTTTGCAGCATGTTAAAAGCATGAACATCACTATCGTAGCTCACGTGTTCCATTTTATAATGCTTCTCCTGGTGCTCCATATTCCCATTGCCAGTGCCGTCGGTGAATTGCAAATAAAACAAACCGAATGAGAACAACAACAAAAAAAGCTGTATCGCAACAGCTCTGATCGCAAGCTGCAATTGCAGATTGCTGACCGCCAACAACTTCCGGTGATGTAGGTCACGCGTCACTGTAGGTTAAAGGTGACATGCTTTTTTATTTTATTTTATTTATTAAATACCTTTTGTGAACTGATGCTTCGTGTACCCTAACACAAACATATATAATATTAATAACACGCACATAGTCACACAATTTTTTTTTCCCATTTCCCCCTGCACTCCCCGCGATCTACTTGGGACCAACCTGCGTGCTACCGGTTGATTGCGATTGACTGGTTGGGCACACCTGGACTAAGCACTGACGGAAGTGGATTTTCACTTGTCAGTGTAATCATCATTAACCAGTTCAAGTACGGATTGACCTTTCTGTCCTTCACTAACGGACGCCCGTTTGGCTGATGACTGAGGGAAACCGCCCCGGCTGGCAGGGATGAACCTGGTGGCTTTGCTTGAGTGGACTGCGCCGACTCTATTTGGAAACACTTTGCGATTCCTGGGCAGTAGGTGGTGGTATGCCTCCTTGGATGTAGTCATTTCATGTAGACGTCTACTAAAGATGACAAGTCATTTACGTATCCGTCTGCATTTCTTCACAGATGTTCATTTTATGTTTTATGTTTCAAACGGGATGAAATTAAAGTGAAATAGCCACGCTGTTATGCTTCACAATTTTACAAATGCAAAGATGAGTGCAATTGGTCTGTCCCATGCACGTCTCTCCTGCCACCTCCACCCCCAATGCACACAGTCCAGATTTGAAATGACTTGTAAACATGGGAAAAAATGGAAATGTTCTTTATGCATTACATTGAATGCAAAAAACTGTGAAGAACCATCAAATAGTTTTTAAAAATTTCTTGATGTGGCCAAATAACAGCCGACTGCAAGCCAAAGCCTTAGAATCAGGTTTGGTTCAATGTCGAATCGTGAGCCAGTGTAATCGAGTCTTTTTGGTTTGAAGTACTGACACAAATAGAAGAGATACTTTCAAAAATATGTACATTCAAATTAAAATGATCAAGAAATGACCCCAAAAAAAAACGATTCTATTTAATTTGAAGTCTTGCGTTGTTCACGGGCCTGCTGGTACACGCCCATTTTCATATGTTACCATCGAGGAGCTACAAGTGTGTGTGTGTGTGTGTGTGTGTGTGTGTGTGTGTGTGTGTGTGTGTGTGTGCGCGTGTGTGTAAAGCTTTTTAGGTAGACACCCTGTGATGTAGATACACTGATACACTCCATTTACCATATTAATCAAATTGAATTTTTCATTTGTTGGATTGTGATGTTGTTTTTGGGGGGGGGGGTTGTTTTGTTTTGTTTTGTTTTGTTTGAACTGGCGGACGCAATGACTGAAGCGTGGTTAGAATAACATGACGGACTGACTGACTAAAGATGACAGTTTCGTTCACCTTGAAATAATGACAGACTGATGATGAATGACAACTCAAGGACCAGCAAAATTTTGTAAACTGCCTACCTTTGATTTTTGTTATCTAATTCCTTAAATCATAATTAATCTGAACATACATATCTAGACTTGGTTGGGAGCGTCTGTGGGTAGTATGAATAAATATAGTCGTAATCCTTGCGGAACGTTTGATTGGCTTTTTTACCTTGAGATGTCAACATTAAATGTACCATCAATTCTCGGGAAGGCATTCATAATTATAGTCAATCAATAATCTCTTCCATATCAATGACCTTTTAATCTGACTGACTTGCTGTATTTATCTATTGGTGGAGTTCTGACTGCGGTCAGCACTTTGTGATGCACTTCAGCTCTACAAAAGGTCAGCTCGCAAAAACTGAAAGGTTCACCTGGTGGTTACGAACATCACATTCTAATTTACAACACAAGCACCGCTGAGTATATAACCCAGGAATAAAACATTAATCACACTCAGTGGAGCAGGATTATCTGAGCTTGAATGGCAAAGAAACCACCAGTCAGGCAAAGAATGATAAAATGCTTGATGTGGATTTCTTCTTTCCTTTCTTCTGTCTGTTTAGCTTTAATTGATCTCCTCTTTGAGGGGAAATCAGGGACATGGCTAATTGTAAGGCTGAAAGATGGAGCCTCGAGGATTGAGTTCAACAAATTTATCACAGACAAGGAATATAAAAGGGAAGCGGAGATTTTGTACACATGGCATATCTGTTGTGTGATCATGTGCAGTGCAGTCTCTATGCTAGGGGTGTCAAACTCATTTTCACCAAGCGCCACATCAGCAAAATGGCTGTCGTCAAAGGGCCAGATGTAACTTATAATTGTAACTTAATATAATTGAATGCAATGTAAAATAAATGTAACTACTCCTTCATGTAATTTCTCAACTCAACTCAACTCGAACTGTATTTAGAGAGCACTTTCAAACAGCCATTGCTGCATACAAAGTGCTGTACATTGAGCAATTTAACATATATAACAAACAGTAAAGCAAATCGGTAATAAAGACGTTAGAAAGCACCGAACAGCAAAAAACCAAGAACAAATCTAAGTCATGCTGAGTCAAATGCCAAAGAATACAAGTGAGTTTTGAGGCGGGTTTTGAAGATGGGGTTGTTGCTTTTCTTCAAGGCTAGCTTTAGCCTTGCATCAACTTTTCTCTTCCTTGACATTTTGGGATCATTATTTTCTCCTGATCCCATTCATGTGCACTGATGTGGAAACACCGCCATGTAGTTTCAGTGAGCCGTCACTTTGCGAGTAACATAGTCAACAGAAATTGTGGGAAATTTAGTTTTTTGGTCAAAGCATGCTTTTAAACTACAGTCATACCTCGGTTCAGCCATAATCCGTTCCAGAAGGCTGTTCGAAAAGCGATTTGTTCGAAATCCGAAACTATTTTATTAGCCCATGATTAGGGGCTAATACACTATGCAGAAATAACAACAACAGCAAAAAAACAGTCAGATTTGCGTAAATCATAACCAACACATCTGTTCACAATGAACGTGACACGAGGAAGCGTCACTTCCTCGTGTAAGGAAGCCGAGAGGAGTCAAGTGGCGTATTCGGGTTTGCTCACTTTGGTCGAAAACCGGTTTTCGGTCGTAATCTGGGGCGTAAAAATCTCGAATTTTCTGGTCGAAATCCGATTTCGTCGAAAACAGAGGCATTCAAAAACCGAGGTTTGACTGTATTGATTTTTCGACATTCAGGCCTTTCAAGCTCTCGCGGGCCACATAAAAAACAAGGCGGGCCACATAAAATGATGAGGCAGGCCACATCTGGACCGCGGGCCTTGGGTTTGACACAGGTGCTCTACGGGATTCGTTAATTTAATAAATTAAGAGAAAATAAAGTTAGGAAAAAAAGCTTAAATATACATTTAGGAGAGAGAAACAAACGAAGAAGAGTTTATTGGTCCAGAGGTCCATTGCCATGTGGAAACCTAAAGTACAGTATTTATTTTCTACGAGTGTGACGGAGAGTTACCATGGGACTTGATAACTGCTTCAATCAAAAACCGTCTTGCTATAATCACGGACCGACAGTGGGTGAGTGTCGTACCAGTCAGCCAGTCCATAAAGTGGAACTGTGATGAATTTCCAGCCTCTTTCAGATGTTGGTTCGCTGGCTGAGTGCCACAATTGGCGCTGGTCCTTGAGGCCCGTGCTGTTCTCTGCTATCCACAGAGACAGCGACCCCTTCTGTATATCTCCAGAACAAATCCAGAAACGCACCTGTGGGCAAACATACAATACAGGATTCAGTCAAGCAATTCTTGATTTACAAGGCCACCACAATGTGCTTTGTAGTAGTTGCAGTGCTACAGGATGCGTCAAATATATAAAGAATGCGGCTCATTCAGCAATATAAGATAACGATAGTTTAATTTGTTCCTCAACCAAGTTTGTAATTCAATAAACTCATGGATTTAATCAGTGTTTCCCCACTGAAATTAATTGAAATGCCATTGCTGGTAATCCGTTTCAGCCGCCTGCACCCCCCCCCCCCGGTGTTTTTCATAAACGAAAATAGCAATGCATCGTCTATAAACATGGGATTCAAAGAGAATGTAAAGAAAATTGTGCAATCACTGTAGTGAAGTGAAGTGAGTCAAGTCAGCAGCTGGAGCTGGTTGGTCCAACTTGGTTGGTTAGTCTGTGCGCGTGAGTGCCTCCACATGAGTTTTGTCCGAAAATAACTTCTGGTGAGTGTTTTTGTTTTCTTTCTGTTTTTGAATATTTGTTTTGTTCCATAAATGGCTCAAGGTGCATCTGTCAATGTGATAAAACTCATTTTATGAAATTACTCGAGTGGCAGCGTATCTGAAGGTTGCTTATAATCAATTGTCTTAAAACACAAAGTAAAAAAGAAGCAAAGTGACTCACAACATTTGCAAGTTGGGTTAAAAGTCAGAGTGCTACTATAGATGTAGTGGTTTTTTGTTGATGTTTCTTGATTGACGTGCTGTAAGATTTACGAAGAGTTCTTCAATGACATTTCGCATGCCTGCCGATTGATCCTAATTCTCAGAAGTAACAATTTCCCATCAGAGATTTACACATATTCTGCAAAACTCGTAAACTTGTTCCAGCCTGCAAACACGTGTCCTTTCAGCCACTACCCAGACCTCATTGACCTGAGGTGGGAACATCGATGGCCTTTTGCCTCAGCTTTACTATACGACAGTTTGATACAGTGATCTCATCACTTCTGGTGTCACACTTATCTGTCTGTCACTCTTGCCATACATTTGTCGGTTTCCTCAAAACAAGACCCTGAAAATCCTGACCTCCGTCACCTGAGGCGGGACATCATTTCAAATCTTGAGTGTACAATGCATCCTCTTATGGCTGAAAACTGTGGTCTCTGATATGAAGGTGATTCTCATGTGGATTCTTTACCGGTGTCTGCAAATGCTGAAGATCATACTTGATGAGGCCATCACTTGGTCGAGTTTACTCCCGGACAAATCCAACAAGCTGCCTTTTAGATCCAATTCCCATATCACTTTCAAAGACCTTTTATGGATTCTTTGAAGAACAAATTTTAAAGATAGCCAATTGCTCTCTTCAGACGGGTGTATTCCCCGCTGCGTTTAACCCTTTCAGGGACAGCGGTTACGACAGTGGACAGCTTATCATGTTATCAGGTTACAGGTTAAAGGTCAGGCATGAAATAAAGTTGGCCAACCATCTGTTTACATACATAGTAATACATAGGGCTAAAACAATTTCAAGCATACTTTTTTTTTTTTTTTTTAACACTACCCATCCAGGTTCATAGTGAGACCTGTAGCAATGCAGTTAACAATGAAAATGCTTTTGTTCGGCAATCTGCGGCAACTGAAGTCATTTACAGAATGCCGTGTCGCCAGCCAGGCATTGTAATGCATTGTTGGTTGAGCTGTTAACTGCTCTTTGCCATTGTTAGAGAGTTAATAAAGGTGATGTGATAATCAATGAATAACTGGCTGTTGTTTATGAAAACATTCGATTCAAAGTACGATAGGTGTACATAGATGAAATCCTGTACGGAAACATTCAAACTATTGTGAATGGATGGAATCCTCCGTCATGGTTTGCAACTAACAATGTTGCCGATAAAATGTGTGATAGCGCATGAACTATGTGAGAAATGACAATGGAGGACACCAACCCCATGATAACGTGTCCTTTCAGTGCTTGCGAGAATGCATGAACTCAGTAAATAATCTAATTTTCTATGTCTCTGAGCATTCACACAAACCTCCTGAGCATTCCTTGGACCGTGGTGAGCATACGCACGGCCGCGAAACCAGTGTCACACCTGTACAAAGCTTAATAATGTGAAATTTAATGTTCTCCGATAGGCTCTTTTACATTAAGCTACAATGGTCTAAATGGGATTGCGAAAAAGCACACCTGAAATCAGATATGCACCATCCTTTCAGTGTGGCTAAGTTTGCATTTGTATTCCAGTGCTACGGTTAAAAACAGAACTTAAAGCACAGTTGCAGGACAGGATAGAACCTGTTCCCTTGAACGGCACCCTTTTGATTCAGGTTTTTAATTTTTATTACTTTCTTCTTTAAACAGGGGAGTGTTTATGATGAACAAGGAGCATATTAAGGAAGGCCGTTACAATTTACAATGAGATAGTTGCAAATAATTGTTAAAAAAAAAACCCTTCACATAAATTTGACTTCGGCCCACAGCACCGGCTGAATGCGTCTGAATTGGACCATTGTGAATAAAAATTACAGTCGGTGACTCACACAAGCACACCAAGTGATTGAGAATCTAAGACAGACAGACTTGAGAAACAACAGACCTAAATGTCAAGATTTAAATCACTACAGAATGAACGAGACACACACAAATGATCTTGCTCAATAATATCTTGTAGTCTGGAAAAATGGCGAACGCCACATTACTCTTAAAACATGTCTACTGTATCTAAAACTAAAGCAAATGAAGTCCAAAGTTTTGATGTAAATTAGCCAAATAATAAAAAGATCAAACAGCAGCGGCTCTGTAATGATTCAGAGATGAACAACATTCAACCAGGAGGCTCACTGGGCTTGTTTTGCATCAACACCACTCCTGCATGCCTCTCCACAAATTAATCTAATTTGGTTGTTTCCTGAAGGGATATGGTCAAACTAATCTGGCCTGAAAACACACAGGGCATAACACGAATTAAACCTCAGGAAGTAAACAGCTCTAGGCTTGCCAACAAGCAGCGGCTGCTAGCTAGCATGTCCCTCAACAGCATTTTATTAAAGCCAAGCACATAATTCTTGTTTCACTATTTCACTGGAATATATACTGGACACACACAAAGGCAGCATAACCACAAAACTAAATACACACATCTTTATGTCAAGCGCTTACTTATCCATTATAGCTCGAGTTGCTTATCATCCTTTGCGAAAACAGATGGTGACTTGACAATACACAATCGTGGACAGTGGACATTGGGCATGACATGAAAGTGAGCTGTAGTAATACCCAAAATGAATATCGTCGCGACACTGCAGTTGTCCAGGAGCATAGAGGCCAGAATGAACAGCGCCAATTCAGTGTTTAGAAAAGGGATTTAGTGTCTTAATCTGGAATCATGCTTAATCTTTGGCTAGGTGTCAAGAGACTGGAATATCCGCGATGGTGCAGCACTGCCAACACAGCTGTCCACAAAAATCCTGGCTCTTAATCACTTTGGAAGTGGGGTGAGCTTCTCCGTTCATACATTGGTTTGTTTTCGGATCCCCCCCCCCCACCCCACCCCAGCAAAGTACAAATGTCTTTAGGTTGAGCTATTGGCTGCATTTTGTGGTCTTGCCTTTGCAAGCTCATCCATGACTTTAATGACTTTAGTACCGTCTTCTCAAACCTTTGGAGACTTTCTTCACCTCTGTCAAATGTGCAAATTCACATACCTACAATGGCTCAAGGGATGCAAAACAAACACAAATACTGGGTGTGTTCCAAAACCTTAATTGAGACTTGTGGGATCTAAACTTTTCGGCTACATGCTCCAGTGGCATCGTATCTTATCAAGAGAGAATAATTTGATTTAATGTGTAGGTAAGCAGAAGCTGATTTTGATTGACGAGGTCAGCCTTGTTTACTCCTGACTCTCCTTTCCCCCTTTAGACACAATGATCGAGACACATTACTGCAAGTTTCAAAGACGACGTGTGTGTCTGTACACACACACATACACGCACACACACGCGGACTCACATTCATATACACACACACACACACACACACACACACACACACACACACACACACACACACACTTGTAAAATAGTCTGTTGTTGATTGAATCTATGCAGTCCGTCCATGTAGAGTCAAACCTCGGTTTTTGAGCGTCTCTGTTCTCGACCAAATCGGTTTTCGACCAAAAATTTCTAGTTTTTTATGCCTCGGATGACGACCGAATTTCGGTTCTCGAACAACCTGAGCGCACTTGAATGCGTCACTTGACTCCTCTCGCCTTCCTTGCACGAGGAAGTGACGCTTCCTTGGGTAGACGAGGAAGTGACGCTTCCTCGCTTAGCGTTCCATGGTGAACAGACGTGTTCAATAACATTTTTTTTTTTTTTTTAAAAGAGCGTGGTTTCGGTTTTCGAACAAATCGGTTTTCGAACAGCCTTCTGGAACGGATTATGGTCGAAAACCGAGGTATGACTGTATCAGAAAATTGTATTTATTCTAAAATTTTCTTTATTAAATGAACACATTTTGAACTCTTACAAAAATAATAAAATAAAAATTGCAGAGGTGAAGGTATCTTTAAAATTAATTAAAAAGCTGAATTTAGTGCAAGCTTCTCGAGCTGAACTTCTAGCAAAAGAAAAAAAAAATGCCGTGAGACATCATCCTGAAATAATCATATTCAACTCTAATAGCACCTGTTGATACATAAATCACTTATATTTAAAAGAAGAAGAAATAACAAATCTTTTTTTTTTTTTGGTATACGATGATTAAAATTATTAATTAACGTGGGATAAAACACTTGAGATGTAGCATCCCCTTTGCCAGGGGGGCCCCGTATCCCTTTTGCTCATTTGGGTCACGGCTGAGCCGGAGGCCTATCCAAGCTGATTTTGGGTAGGAGGGCACGACACATATAGATGTATAAGCATTCACACTCGCATTCTCACCCATAAATAATTCAGAATGCCCTATTAAACAAACATGCATGTGGGAGGACAACCAGGAGAAAGAGAACAACCGCCCGTGAAAGGAAAAGTCACTTTTACAGTCTTTACTTTGTTATGCATACACGTATGCCAACCAACCCCCCCTTTTTTTCTACCTTTGTGTTCCAAGCAGTCCAAAGCAAATCTTGTATTCTTGCATTTGCTACCTCTGAGTCCAAAGTCAAATCTTTACACACACACACACACGCACGCACGCACGCACGCACGCACGCACGCACGCACGCACACACACACACACACACACACACACACACA